AAAAATCTATTAAGTCTGTTAAATACAACTCTAGGAAACTCCCTTCAGCATAAAAACTACCGTACAAATATGAGGAAATCAATCAACGGTTAATCTGTTCAGTTACTTTTAAAACTAACTGATCGCTAGGGCTGTGCAAAACGGCACCATCCGTTTCAACTTGTGTTTCAAAAGAACAGCATTTCATTTTGAATTTCATTTCAATTCAAAACTGCTGTTCTGTTTCGTTTTGGTGAAACAGTTTTGCTGTTTCAATGCTGTTTCGACATTTTGCCTGTAGGCTATAATGGGGAAACTTGAAACAGCCTATAACTTTGTCATTTCTGGCCTGATTTGCAGGAAGGGTAGCCCCTTCTGAGGGCATGAACTCTGCCAAGTTTCAAGGAGATAGTTGCAAGAGTTTGGGGGAAACTGCACCTCAACCTGCGGACAAGCAAAACTCGTGACTTGAGTGATGCGCTGTGTGTGCGTGCGTGCGCGAGCGAAGGTGCACCCTCACTCAACTGGCACCAAGGCAGAAAGCAGGGCAGTTCAACCAATGCTGCTTTCTATGCAGTTTTTCCATCCCTCCCCCAGATAACTGGGATTGGAAGGGACCCCAGGAAAGGATGACAGTTGCTGGCCAGTAGGCCTGTGTGAGTCAGCAGCGATCTGATCCGGCTTCGGATCCATCCGCTTCGGATGGCCGTGATCCGATCTGGGGCGCCGGACCGGGTTTCTGCCTCAATCCGGCCGAAGCGGCTTCGGAGCCACCTCGGAGATCCAGCCATAGGGTACAAGGGGGGATCAATGAAATATCTATAACTCTTGTTTTTTGTCCGATTTGGATGAAACATGCAGGGATGGTAGCCTCTGCTGAGAGCATGAAACCCACCAAGTTTCAAGAAGATCGGTGCAGGGGTTTGGGGGGAACTGTACCCCAAATTCTTGAAAGCCGAACTCTTGTCACGGCTGTTGCACCACAGGGGGATCAAAACTGCAGGTGTGGCAGCTCTTACTGAGGCCACAAAGCCTGCCAAGTTTCAAGGAGATAGGTGCAGGGGTTTGGGGGGAACTGCCCCTCAAGCTGTGGACAATCAAAACTCGTGCCATGGGTGCTTGTGGGAATTACTGCGAATTTGGACAGGGTGCTTCCCACCCCCTCGTCCAGATCACTGACGAAGATGTTGAACAGCACCGGCCCCAGAACTGAACCCTGAGGGACTCCACTGCCCACATCTTTCCAGGTTGACACTGACCCATCCACCACCCTGAGTGCGACCTTTGAGCCAGTTTGCTACCCAGTCTACCATATAATTAGTCAAGGCAAATCTTGTCAGTTTATTTATAAGGATGGTATGGGATACTGTGTCAGAGGTACTATCTTGCTGTGCCTGGATGAAATATGACATAAAGAGTTACTCTGGAAGGAGCTTATTAGTGCAGTGAGCAAAAATAAGCCATGTAAGTCAATCTTCTGGCACTGTCATAGGCAATCACTGCTCTCTCCTACTACACTATATTAAAGAAGTTCTATTCCCCGCTTGTGCCTTGAGGACGTTTTCTCCTCTCCAGGTGGGAAATAGTAGTTCCTGTTAGCATGTATTCCCATTATGTATATTCTGTCCACATGTATTCATAGCATTGGAATGAAGTAGGTTGTTGCCCAGGAAAAATTATGCCTTCCTCAATGAGTTAGTCTCTAAGGTGCTGCCCTACCTTCTGCTTGACTTCAGACTAACATGGCCAATTATTTTGCTCTAACTTACAGAGTAGCATTAGAAGAGTTGAGTGTATTTGTGACCGTGTAACCAAAACAGTGCTAGAATAGGGGTGTCTTAAGATCTGGCCCATGCAGCCCTATCACTGGCCCCTGCTGTCATTAAGTTGATCCATTTGACCCATGTAGCATGTGCTGAACTGGCCCCATGCACAGGGTCCAGGACATGCACTTCTTGTGGCACCTGCTGTGGGATCTGTGCCACACATGGGACTATGCTGCATGGTGATTCTTCCCCCACTCCCCACTAGTCTGGGACCCATGCTGTACACAGTGTCTGCTCTAGTCAGTCTGTGACCCACTGACCCATACATTAGATCTGGCGGGGGGACAACAGGTCCGTGGGCTTGATCTGGCCTGTAGACTGGCTCTGAACTGCTCATCCAGCCTGCAGGACCCCTGCCATAGAGGATCCATCATTCCCTTGCTGTCCTTTTCTCTGTTCCTTAGTTAGATATTTTTGAAGCTGAGTAAAGATACCTAGGGTGAAATAATCAACCCACCTTGTGCTACAGTTCTACCTACTCTAACTCCACTGATATCAGTTGAAAATTTGCCTTATGATATTATCATTTATTCTGTATCATTTTATTAAACATTTTTCTTAACATTTCATATTTCTTCAAAGTAACTTACAAAAGCTCATATCAAAACAGAATTCTCAACATAAAACCTTGTTTGAATGCTGTCTTAGGGAAAGGGAATAGATGTTATTTTACCAGAGACTCATTCTTTTAAACTTCCTTTCCTGTTGTTTATTTGTTTGAAAATCAAATTTTCAAATGAGTGACAAATCAGTGATTTATAAATCCCTTTGTATGCTCTGCTGGATCCAGGTTTCCAGTGAACCTATTTCAAATTACTCTTACTTTCTACAGGAAATGGGTTTTGGCATTTGATTGATGCTTATGATAGTTTCTTTAGACCACTGGTTCTCAGACTTTTTTGAACTCGAGGCACCCCTCCAGAACTTCTGTTTCAACAACTAACTTGTGTTACAGCGCTTACTCTCTTGTAGAGAGGTGGGGCAGTCTGGGTTGGGGATCAGGCCTGGACAAGACTGTGTGTTAATCTACTTAGCTTATCTAATCATCTCCTCATATCCCAAGGTACCCATCGAAGTATCTGGTGGCACCCTGGGATGTCCCAGCACTCTGGTGGAGAATCACTGCTTTAGTTGCATTGGCTAGGTACAGATCATTATGCATTAAGCATGCAGAAAGCTCTCTCAAGCTGTAAATGAACTGATGTTCATGGCTCTTGGAGCACTTGAAAAATGGTGGATTGAGCTCCTAAGGGCACCTATACACATGCTGGACATCTGCTTCGATGCATGTTAATTAGCATACACAGGAGCAGACTCAATTAATCGAGTCTGCTGAAGTATGCTAATTAGCACATTCCAGCAGCCTCCCCATCACATATATTCAGCATCCCCACATTGCAAAATGGCGGCGGGGGGCCATGGGGAAGGGGCCTGGGGTCTCCCCCTCCCCCAGCTGCTGCCAGGGGGCAAGGGAGGAGGGCTGGGGTTGGGGAGGGGGACTATTCCAGCAGCCTCCTGGGAGTGCCCGCAGCAACTAATGTGGGCAGGCTCCCCCCTCCCTCCCTCCCTTAACTTAGTGCTTTAAGTAAAGTGAGAGAGAGCACTTTCCTCCAGGGGTTTCTTGAATGTCTGTACTTAGCCATTATCAACTAGATCATAAAGTTGGTGACTTGTATTAATCTAAAATACTGCATTCATCAAAGTGATGGCCATAATTCTGAGAATTCAGTCTCTTTTGCAACATGTCTTTACACATCTTGGGACCCAATGGTATTTTTGTTTTGCTTCATTGTATGACCTGGAAATCTCTCTCTGGTTTTTAAAAACACACTTCTGTCTGACTTACTGGGTTGCAAACAGGTCATCTCTCTGTAACCTAAAGCAGTGATTCTCAACCTGGGATACCTGAGATCCTTGGAAGTGTGCTGCGATGAGGACAGGCTCAGGCTCTCCATTCCTGCCTGCCCCCTCACTCTCCCCCATGGCAAGGAGATGAGCTCTGTAATAAATTAACTAACTAGTATTTTAAATTGAGTGCTGCTCAATTTGCAGAAGTTCTGGGGGCAGGGGGTACCACAAGTTGAATGAGGAGTGCCTGGAGTCTGAAACAGTTGAAAACCACTGCCCTAAAGTGTTTTATTTTGGCACAAACATGTACAACAGCAAGAGAGAGCCCTTGCTTTCACATTTCCTGCTGTTAACACCAAGCATGAGTAGCAGATGGTAGATTTTGTGACTGTGACTTATCCTTTGGACACTAGACTAAGGTCATTTAAACACGTGCTAGGTCAGCCACTGAACAGCCATCAGGTGACAACAGCAAACTGCTGGTTGTTATTTCCCTCAGTTGGAAGGAGCCACTTCCTAATCTGCATTCTCCTATTCCTCCCAATATTATTTCCTGAAGAAACAGACATACTGATATCTTTGTGCTGGAGAATCTGGGATAAAACTGGAATAATACAGCATCTTAACAACAGTCACAGTAAATTTCATTTAAGTATCCCAGTGCTTTGTTTCCTGTCCTGTTTTAAAAAAAAATACAAATAATAATGTCTACAAGCTGCATTGAAGACTGGGGTTTTTCTGTGCACTGTACATAACAGCAGCAAGGCTCAGTCCCTGGCGTGAGGACCCTATGATTTTAAATAGACCAGACAAAGTGTGGAAGAGGAAAGAAGCATACAAAAATGACTTTCCCACAATTAGATAGTAGCTGTTTAATCTTTAGGAATAAACCAAGGAGAGGAACTCTTTCAGCCTGGGGCTCTGCACAAGCACAGACTAACTATCTCGTTGTATAAAATTTACTTTTCCAGCACTATCCATCTGCCTGAAGTAGGAGGACAGCACCCACTGAACATGGCAAATTCTAAGCTGTGGGAAGTACCAAAGTCAGTACAAATGAAACCTTACTTGAAATTCTGAGTTATTTTACAGAACGTGTTAGCAGCACCTCACTGCAACATATAAATTGAACAACAGCTTGATTTCTTTGACACTCTCGGGAATGTCTAAGACCCTCCCAGAGAAGTTGCCACTATTTGTAATACAATCTGAGTCAAATGCAAAGCACAATTATTTTGCTTCAAAAGCAATAACACACGAGCGTGCATTTCTTCTTCTAACCCCAGAATTCATAGAGTTTTAGGGCTGGAAGGGACCTCAGTAGATCATTGAGTCCAGCCCCCTGCCCAAAGGGCAGGAAAAGAGTGCTGGGGTCAGATGACCCCAGCCAGGTGTTTAAATTCCAATTGGCTCATCTGACTAACTGGGCATAAATGAATTACTAGTATTTAATTTTTGAAAACCAAGCCAATAAGGAAGTGGTGTGTGCGACAACTGTTTATTCCTTCCCAGAGAGAATGCCAAAACATTTGGTAATAACATTCAATTGTGACCATAGTTTCATCTAGTAGTATAATGATGGAAAGTGGTCTGGAAACAAAAAGCTGGATGTGTGTGTGTATCTTTCATGTACAGTAAAATAGTTTCCCTTTAAGTATTTAGTTCATTGTGGCTCAAATGCAGATGAGATTTGATTAAGTACCAGATGTTTTGCAACCAAACCAAAGTTAGGTGATTTAAGAATAGATCAGTTCTTTTCAACAACAGTGGTATGATGATGCATGTTTTGGGTGATGATCAAAGAAGGCCCGATTCTTCAACCAGTCTGTAGAATAGTCCCTTTTGAGCCATTAATTTCTCTGGTGTATCAAATTCGGCAATCTGACCATTTTCCAAGACTAAAATCCTGTGAATAATATTAAAACAGAAATTTGAGCATTGGAATGCAAAAACAACACTAACTTAAGTAACCATTCTGAGCTACGATTATTAGATCTTGTTAGATCAGCTCCTGCCACTATTCCCCAACCAGGGAACAAGCCACAGGAGCATAGTAGTTGTAACCAAATGTTCAAAGATGATGCATAAGCTGGGCAGCCCCTTTGTGGCAATGTCATGAGTACATATCTAAACAGAACTTTTGGCTACCTATTTTTTAATTGTAAAGCAGCAAGTGATGTCTGAGCAGAGGGAGAGGTTCCAGTGAGGAGACTCTCTGCAGCTTTAATTTACATCAGTGGACAAAAGGGCGGGATAAAGAATTAAATGACTTCAGCAGACCTAGACAGATCTCACTGTTTCTCAGCAGTTGATGCATCCATCACTGACAATAAGAACCTGCTATTGTTTGAGAGAGCACCCTGGTGGGGTAAATGGGGCAGAGAGAGAGGGACAGACTTATAAAAATGACCAGACAAATCTGCCAGGGGAAGACTACCTGTTGCAGTCCAGGATGGTGTTCACACGATGAGCTATTGTCAACACTGTGCACTCTTTGAACTGAGTCCTTATCATTGATTGAATATGGAGGTCCATTTCTACATCCACTGATGCTGTAGCCTCATCTAGAACCAAGATTTTGGCTTTCCGTAGCAGTGCCCTGGCCAGACAGAGAAGTTGCTTCTGACCAACGCTGAAAGCAAAAAGGTAGGATGGGGAATTGAGGAGGAGCAAATAGTGTTACTGGAGTTCAGAAAAAATAATCAATTTGAGAAAGTTCTGGCAGGCTCATGGCTCTCTTTCTCTGGGGAAGCAAGAGCCTGGGATTATTCAGAGTTGTGTTCTGTCTGAATTTTAGGAGATGAACGAGGAGCCATCCGTGCATGGAGCCTGTGATGTTGACAACATAGCAGATAATAGTTTGAGACCATCCAAAGCTGGGGACATTATTAACTTGTACTGTGTCAGCATGTAGGAGCTTCAGTCATGGTCTAGGTGTCAACTGCGCTGGGCACTGCACAAACTCGGAACAAGGCAGTTTGCCCTGGAGATCTTCTATTCTAAGGGATGTCATAGCGCTGTTGCAGATTTCCCCTCAGGGGGCTTGTAGCGGGACCAAGTTCCAGGGGTGGTCGTGATGTCCCCTGGTGGCTATGTGGTTCCTGCTCTGCTCTAGATTCCTGGGTACTGTCCCTTTCTTTGCCGCCTGCTACACCTTGATGTAACTAGTTGATGGGTAATAAGGGAGGTTGCCCTCGGGTCCCAGATTGACCTCATGTCCATCTGAGCCAGCAGGTCTTTCCCAGACCCTACTGGTCCCAATTCAGTCCCTCACTGTATTGTCTTGGCCCTCTTGCTCCATCCATGCCCCAGGGTATTAGTTACCTTAAGGGTTAGTTTTGCGGCCTCTGACCTGTGCCTCACAGGTGTTACTGCTCCATCATTTTCCCTTGTTGGAGCCTTGGCCTTCTCAACCCACTGGGGTTTCCAATCAGGGCCTGATGACTAGCTCCCAGGGCAACTCATTTTTGCTGCTCTGGCTGCTTTAGCAATGTCCTTGCTGCCCAGACAGGGCTCTGTCCTATTGTACTATTACAGAGCTGCAAGTTCTGCAATAGGCACTCATAGCCTATAAGTCCCTGGCAACCTGTTCTCCTGCAGCTCATATGAGCAGCCTTCCCCACCTGGGGATCTCCCTGCTGCTGTTACTCCTTAAAGTAACAGGACTATATCTTTTGGATTTTACTAAATCACATTTGCTTCTATTTAATATCATTCTTCCTTATTTGGACAATCTTGCCAACTGCATCACCCCCTCACCCACCGACCAAGGCTGTGCTGTCTTTTTCTGATGGCAGTGAAGGTACCTCAGGTTTTCCCCTTGTTCAGAGCACTCATAGTTCAGTTGATCGGGCAGATCCAGTACAAAGTTCTTAAGCTGAGTCAGTTCCAAAGCTGTCCAGATGTCTGCATCACAGTATGTGTTTAAGGGATCGAGGTTCATTCTTAGAGAACCAGAAAACAAAATTGGATCCTAAACATAAAAACAATACAAAAAATCCTGAAATTAATACAGACCTCTTAAACTCCTGCCACTGCAGGTTTTTACCTGCTGTAGAACGAACGGAGTGAAAAACTCTGGCTAGTGTAGTATGCAAAGTAAGACTAGCTGGTCGTAAGGGTGACTTCTCCCCTTCATATCTGTAGCTAGCCTTCTCACAGAGAACCTTCCTTCCTGCCTGTCCCACATATTAGCACCCCATGCGATGGATAAGCACTTTTAAAAATTAATGTCATACCTGGGGAATAATTGTTATTTTGGTTCTAAGGTCATGGAGACCTATGTGAGCAATATTTATTCCATCAATTGAGATTTCTCCTTCAGCAGCTTCCACTAATCTCAGTAGTCCCACTGCAAGAGTTGATTTCCCAGCTCCTGTTCTTCCAGCTATGCCAATCTATAAAATATAATGAAAGTAGATTATTCACTTTATACTTGGATTTTGATTTTTGACCAAATGATGGCTGAATGACATGTCCATGGAACTGCCGTGTAGAAAGAGACCTATTGGTTAATTTTGCTGAGTGTGCAGGTTGGACAATAACCAATATTAGAAGTTTTGGAGAAATGCACAACTTGGGTCTATGCCCTGTGAACGGTGCTGTGTCATCCTGATTCCCTCTTTGATTAGCAGGCTGTACCCTGATGTGGAGACAGACTACTTGTGGCTTTCCTTTGCATTTAAAAAAAAATCACTTCTCAGTTGCAACTTAGTTTCTCTTCATCTGCTCCTCTCCTTGGGCCTCTTGGAAACCTGTTCTGTGTTCTTCAAATGACAAGGAAGTTGAGGTCAGATGGTGGAGGAAACCTTTTGACTTTTCTATGGGGGTCTATGCCAGGAACAGGACTACAGGCAGTCCTCAGACTTATGATACAACTGGTTCCTGAAAACCAGATCTTAAGTCGAAATGTTGTAACTTGGAACCAATTTCCCCGTAGGAACAATGTTATAAATGGGCGATTGGTTCCTTTACAACGCACGATCAAGGCCCCCGCAGCGAAGGTGGGGCTGGGACTGGGGCGGGGGGGCACAGGATGAAGGTGTGACACGTCTTGTGGGAGTGGGGGAGGGCCATTCCCGCTGCTGCACGCTGCTGGTCCAGGTGCCCCCCGCGCCCCCTGCCACTCGTCCGGGAGGGCAGGAAGGGTTGTCGTGTGCCCCTGGATCTGTTCTACACCATGCTGAGCTCAGGGCATGGGCTATGGGGGGGCTACAGTGAATTTTTGGGTGACTGCAGCCCCCTCATAGCCCCTGCTTTGCCGCCCGCCCTGCTGGGGTGAGGCAGGCATGGGACAGCTGCGGCCTGTCTGAGGGGCATGGGGAGGGCGGGCAACTCCCACCACTGCGAGTTGCTGGTCTGGAGACAGCACACTGGCTCCATCTTGTGCCTGCCCCCGCTGGCTGGTTGAGCGGCAGCAAGGCATAGCCCCTACTCTCAGCACTGCAGCACCCGTCCAGAGTGCAGCTCGGTGCAGCCCCAGCCCAACCTATCTCATGCAGATCCGGGGGTACATGCCCCCTGCCTCTCGCACCCCCTGCCCCAATCCCTCCTTCGCTGCAGGGGCCTTGATCTGCCCCCACCCACGCCCCTTCCCTCCCCCTTCCCCTACAACAGACTTACCAGCTGGACACAGCTGTATCAAGTGTCATAAAGTTAAAACCCGCCGTGGCACCTCCAAACGCGGTGCCAGTTTATAAAGGTCGTAAGTGCCGTTCATCATTATTTGAAAAGTCGTTAAGTTGAGGACTTCCTGTACATCTGTTATAAGCTTAGGAAGGCCTTAACAGTGTGTGTATGTGTTTAACGTAGCTTTTGTACCTTCAAGCTATTAACTCAGTGAGGCAGGGATCACATTTTCTGTCTACTTATTATAAAATGCTAGTTATACTTTCAGCAGTTAAGAAACAAATGACATTTCTCACCTTCTCTTGCCCCCTTATTGTTATTGTGATATTCTTCAGTGCTAACTCTAAGTTTGGCCTGTACTGTAAACTGTAGTTCCTAAATTCAATTCTTCCTTCAGTGGGCCAAGCCTGACTTTGAGACTTGGCTTCCTGAGTCCAGGGGGCCTATGTAGAAAGGAAACAAATGACATCTTGTTCAGCAGTCAGTACGTCAGCAGGTAACATGGCTGTATGCAATATATGGAAGAATACTCAAAGCATGGGTTCACATTTTTTTCTGGAACTCTGAGTCTGTCTTTTTGGAGGTGGCATTCTTCATAATAAAATTATTAAACCTAACCTTAGTTACTTTATACAGCGAGTCAGACTATTTTCTTAGCTGAGACTGAGGATAAGAATTTGTTTGACAGACAGATATGATATTTTTGACTGATCTAATTATATTTGGTTGTATAGATCTCTGCAAACATGTCTTTTGTGAAAGGCATATTTTCATTTTATCGAGTTGTAAACAGTAGGGTGCACCAATAGAGAATTTTTGGGCTGATACCGATGGCCAATTTTTAACAAGCCATATCAGCTGATACCTATCCCATTGTTGATATGCAGTCAGGCAGCTTGGAGAGCAGCTGGTAAGTCTGTTGTTGGGGGAAGGGGCAAAGGAGGAGGGAAGGGGCATGCACAGGGAAGATTGAGGCACTTGTAGTGAGGGAGTGAGTGGGGTTTGAGTGCGGGATGAAACTGCAAGAGGCTCATGGGGGGGAGGGGGCGGGGATGGCTCCTGCTACTTCATGCTCCACGGGGGGGCGTGGGGGGCATGTGCCCCCTGGATCTGCTTGTGGGGCGAGGGTGGGCTGCTGCTGTGGGCTGGGGCCAGGGTGGTGCCAGGCCATTCCCAGCAGGTGCTGGGCTGGGTTGCGCTTGGGGTGGGAGGCAGCGGCACTGGGAGGGGACTACGGGGGCATGCATCCATCCCAAAATTCACCATATTCCGCCCCCTCCTAGCGTCACCGCCGCCCGCCCCAAGTGCAGCCCAGCCCAACTCCCCTGCCAGGCCCCAGCCTGCAGCGGCAGCCCGCCCCTGCTCCGTGTGCAGATCTGGGGGCGCACGCCCCACATGCCCTCCAGGAGTGTGCTCAGCAGCAGGAACTGTCCCCTCTCCCTGCACCCCCAGATGAGCTGCTCATGGCTCTGTCCTGCGTTCCAGCCCGGTTGTGCAGCACCTGCCCCAACCCCACCCCACCCCACTCCCTCCCTTACTGCAGGGGCCTCGATCTGCCCCCCCCATGCCCCTTCCCTCACAACAGACTTAGTAGCTAGACCTGGCTGTTCTCCACTCTGCTGGCTGTGGTCCTTACTGCCTGTGTGCTGTGCTGTGGCTGCATGTGTGCATGGGGTATTTAGCAGTGGCATTACCAACCAAAACAGCTGAATGCCGATAGTCAATTTTTCTTAGATCACTGCCAATCTGATATGGGACCGATATGGCACCTCTAGTAAACACTGATGTGATTAATGTGAAGAGGTACATAATTACTTAATAATGCAAATACAAAGGATTAAGTTGAGATTCTCAGCCATTAAAAAAGGTCAGCAATTATCACAGCCCTGCATCCATGATGTCCCAATTAATGCACTTTCCGAGTATGGAGAAAACTTGCAGGTCTTTCCATAGAACTTAACAAATGATACTTTGAAATGGCAGCTATTGTTTACCTTGTTTAAGGAAATACCCTGAGCAGAGGTTATAAATCATGCCTGCATAGTTTAATAAACAACAAATGCTGCCAGTTCTTAAAAGTAATGGCACTGGGCCTTTTGGAAGAAAGACACTGGGTGTTTATCCATTTAGAAGAGAAATATATTGCCAGTCTTCTTTGGGATCAAGTCCAGTTCAAATGATGAGAACAATATCTGGTTAGCTACCTCTTTAGGAGTTGTTGAATACTCTCTCACTCTCTCCACCGAAACAACATTGTTTTCTATTTCTGTCCAGGAGCGCACCATCCAGTTCAAAATGCCAGTTATCTAGCAAGAGAGAAAGGAGCTTGAGAAAACAGAAATTAAATGTAGACTGACCAGGTTCTTGTGAAGTAGCTAGTAGGACTGTGCAAAATTTCACCGGGAGTTTTGTTTCAACGATGTTTTGACTCGTTTTGAGCTCGAAACAGCAAAACCAAAATGAAACGCAGAGCTTCAAAACAGCCTCAAAATGAAACAAGGCAAGTAGAAATGTTTTAAATGTTTTGAGTTTCGAAGCTCAAGCTGGGCTTGCCTGCAGGGAAACAGAAACTAAAGTAAGGAGAGGGAGGGGGAAGATGGGGAAGGGGAGGAGTGCTCTCATTATTGACTGTGTAGCTGGCCAGTGACCATCACCCTTCCCTGAGGTTTCTTCCAATCCCAGTGCTCTGGGAGAGGCATGGAAAAACCGCATAAAAGGCAGCATTGCTTGAACTGCCCTGCTTTCTGCCTTGGTGTCAGTTGAGTGAGGATGCACCTTAACACACACAGTGTCACCCACCCATGTCACAAGTTTTGCCTGTCAGCAGCTAGAGGTGCAGGGCCCTAGAACCCAGACTCCCCCTGCGCCTATCTCCTCAACAGCTGGCAGGCTTCATGGCCACAGCAGGGCCTAAGAAGCCTGCAGTTTTCACCCTCCTGCATCTTAACACACACACGGTATCACCCATGTCACGAGTTTTCCTTGTCTGCAGCTTGAGGTGCAGTTTCCCCCAAACCCCTACACCTATCTCCTTGAAACATGGCAAGGTTCATGCCCCCAGAAGGGGCTACTATTCCTGCAAGTTTCATCCAAATCAGGCCAGAAATGACTAAGTTATAGGCTGTTTCGAGCTTCCCCATTATAGCCTATGGGCAAAATGTCGAAACAATATCAAAACAAAGAAACTTTTTCAACAAAACGGAACAGCAGTTTTGAATGGAAACGAAACTTGAAATGAAACGCTGTTCCGTTAAAACTCAAGTCGAAACAAAATGGTGCCGTTTCGTACAGCCCTAGTAGCTAGCCCTTGCTACTTTGTAGGATGCAGCTTAGTACATGCACATTTTTCTGGCTGGCTGGTTGCCAGGGTGTTCATGATCTTGTTTTGTGACATCTGGCCTTGTATTTTGTGGATCAACATTTGATTTGTTCACCCTGCAGCTCCTCAGTGCTAATACAGTGTGTTAGACGTTCTGTTCTAAGCAACCTACATATTTCTTGCAGTGATCTGGTGGAGACTGTACTTTGCCTGTTAAATATTCCTTCAGTTTCTACCTATTTTCAAACCCAGTAGTAGCAAGATAGCTACTGAGGGGCCCTCTGGGTGTATGCATCAGACTTGTTCTCTATAATGGCAGTGCGCACAAGTGTTGCGCTTTATAAGCTGTAATTGTACAGTTTGCAAACAAGCTTTTTACAAAATAGAATCTGGAACAAATTCTATTGAATTCAGTTTAATTCTAAATACTTAGAAAGAAAGCAGCTGGTATTTTGGGACAAAAAAACATTTACTCCCCTTCACTATTTGCAATTCATGTGTTGCACAACTGTGCTAGTACATGACAACCTGACGTTTGTCCAGAAGCTGTTAGCATCTGGGAAGCTGACTTAGGTTCATAACTGTCCAAGCTGAGGGAAATGTCAAAGATAACCAGGTTCTTTAAAATACTTCCAGCTGGAATGCCCTGTGGGCTGATCCTCAGCTGAGCAGATGCTGCAGGATCTGGATCCCTGGGGCATTATCTATGATAAACATAATAGGCTGACAACCTGAGACCCCTGTTAGATGGCAAAACCATACAATGCTGTTCCGAGTTACCTGAAGAGCATATGAAATGGAAAAGGCAGCAATCCCTGGGCTAAGTTGTTTTTTGTTGATCACAGCAAAAAGGGCTGCAAACAATACAATGCCGTTGCCTAGAAACTCCAGGTTTGCAGCCAGCCACCTGCAAGCAAAGCAGAGAAGATTTAGCTACTGAGGGGCCCTCTGGGTATATGCATCAGACTTGTTCTCTATAATGGCAGTGCACACAAGTGTTGCGCTTTTCTTTGCTGAGATTCTTATTTCCTCCCCATTTCTTTTATCACTGGCAAGTGCTCTTTAAAATGCTTTTGGGGACAGAGAGCTCTAAAGTCATGGCCACTTGGTTGGTTGTTACTTCTAATCTACAGTGAAATCCCATCAAGTACTCGCAGCAAAAGTATTCTGTGTTCTGTCTGGGGACCACGGCTGTGTGCTCTGAAGCTCTGTACCACTGATCTTTAGGTGGAGGCAGACTCTGGACTTGTTACTCCGATATTGGCAGCAGCAAGGTATAGCAGCTCTTCCCTTAACCATTGCTCATGGGAAGCTTCATGTGAATGGCAGGATCCTATCCCCTATATTTGCAGCTTCCTACCTGTCGGCAACCACCCCAGGGAAGCACATTCTCTGGTTCTCATCCACTCGGAAATCGTTCTTGGAAATAAACCTCTGTTGCGCCTTGTAAGCACGAATCACACTGCTTCCTTGGAATGTCTCTGACATGTGGGAGTAAATGGGCGAGCGGCTAGCAGCCTCCAGACGCCTCAGCTGGCAGGAGGTGGCAACGTAGAAATTCTGGGAAAAATGGAATGGAAAGGGCAAGTGATCCGGTGAGAACGTACCACTCACCCACTCGTTGGGCTCGTATCCAGAAAACCTGGAATGGGCCCATCATGCAGCAAAATCCAGTGACCCAGCATTATAAAAACTAATGTGCAGACCAAATGTGTTTAGACCTACTAGATGAGATAAGGCATCTGCACACAGCATGGCATCAAAGACATTCCTGAAGGAGCACAGCACATTGTCTGGGGAACAAGGTCGGAGGAAATGTATGCGAGGTAGCTGTAAGGACTACAAGGTCTTGCAGCTGTAAGCCGCAAGGTCTTGTCTGTCTTACAGTAGCCTCCCCAGGCTGTTCAAAGGCTGTAACATTGCCTGGATTTCTACAGTGAGGTATATCATGACCCCATCACTCCCATTCCCCAGTAGACTTCCTCTGCCAGGGGCTGGGGGGAGCTGTAATGCCTGCTCTCCGCAGTGCTTGCAGCAGAGGGGCTCCCTTTTGGGCCAGAGCCAGTTGTTTTAGGCCTGTGTTAAGCCTTGTATTATAAAGTGGTAGGAACAGGGATGAGGATCTTGCTCATCATTTTATTGCCACTTTCCCAATTTAAAAGTATATGTATGGGCCTCAGCCTTTGTCTCTAGTTCAAGCTCTTAGATTAGTAGCCTACCACACTCCAGGTACTACAAACTGTGCCCAAGATCAGGGTGCATTACTGCATAAGTAACCAGAACACGTGTGCCAGGTCTACAGAATCCATTCTAATGCTGCATAGTGCAGGGGTAGGCCAGGCTACTACTTCCCCATTTCATTATGCTCCCTTAACTCTACCCTGATGATAATAGGGTCACTGAGTGGTGTGGATGGCAATACAATGCTATTCTATTGCATCTGTCCCGTTCACTGCTACTTACGTTAGATGTCATAACAAAGTTCTTGTTTCCCTACCCTATTTACTCATAGTAAACCACACTGATCATAGGTTTGGTCCATACAAGAAAGCCTCTGCCTACTAAAGTACGGTGTGATTTCACTGCATGCAAAGTGCGCTGCATTAGCTGTCTGTGTGGATGTATAAAACAGGTCCACGTGGGGTGTTAGTGTGGCACAGTGTAAATTTGCACTGTAGCTTTCCAAGCACTGGGCAGCTTGTGTATCATGAGGTATCAGATAAAGACATTTCAATCTGTAGCATCTTTTGTAACTTCTCTGTCACTGTTTTCAGAATGGGAGGGGGGGAAAGGGAGCAGAGGGAGTTCAGTCTGGGGGTTTTTCAGTCCCCCACCCCCACGGGGGTGGGGTGGGTGTATTGGAGCCGCCCCCCCGAAGTGTGGGGAGGCTCCAATTCACCCACCCCACCCTTCAGCACCAGCTGGGGAGTCCCAAAAAGGAGCTCCCTTTGCTACCTTTCCCCCCTCTCATTCTGAAACCTGGACATTGTTATGGGAACCCTGCTGCAGGCTCCTAGGGGCAGGTAGATTTCTCTCCCCCTGGAACCAACGGTGAACTTCGGTTTGGTCTGGGGTAAGGTTTAAACTAAGAACCTTTGCAGAAAATATTCTGAGTTATAGCTGGGAGCTGCACCTGGTGCTTCCCAGTCTCATTCTGGCAAAATGTCTGACCTACCAAAGAGCCAGACTGGAAGATCTAGGTGCAGTCAAAAGCATGTGCCTTTTTGGTATAGGCTGCTAGGAAACCAAGGGTGGGGGGGAATTGCTTCTGATTTTAGCTGCATTTCATTTATGCTGGGGAAATACAGGAGTATTTCTCCCTATTGGACTCCTGCCAAAACACCATGAATAAATAAGACTTGTCATGAGGCTTGTGGGATGAAGTGCCTGGGTTCTGTGCAAACCATTGATCCTGGTGGGTTTAGTCACTGGTGGTTTTGGTTCAGGTATGAAATCAGACACAAAAACCCATTTCTCTGGATTTCTCAGAAAGGTCTGGTTCATGTTAATCTAAAGATGGGAGCTGGTTCCTGCAGGAAGGGACATGAGTGGTTCTTATACCACCCACAATGCTCGAGTCCTAATCTTTCCAGCTGAAACCTAAACATCAGACAAAATCTTACCTGGAACACAGCATACAGCACTGTCAATGGCACGATTGCCACCACCGCTATTGGCGTGGCCAATACAATCACAATGTAGATCTCCAACAAGTTGAACAAGAACCCCAGCAAGGACTTAAGCTTATCTGGGATAATAGAATCAATAGCATCCATTTCTTTGGAGAAGCGGTTCATCAAGTTTCCAATGGATGTCTGCTCAAAGAACATCATTGGGGATCTAGCAATGTTTTCCAGTAACTGCCGAAAGAGTTTGCGGGATGCTATCGCCCCTCCTAGCAGGACAGCTGCTGTGGACCCAAACTTGCCAATGGCTGTAACAAAAAATGAAAGTAAAGTGCAAGAAAAATCAGAGTTCAGGTTGGGCAAGTCACTGTAATTCAAAGTTAAGGTTATTTAAAAACAAAACAAAACATGAATTTAATACTGGCAAAAGGAACTGGCCTATTTATATGTATTATTGTAGTATCTTAAAAGCCTTAGTCATAGACTAGGACCCTATTGTGCAAGACACTACACAAACACAACACAGGAAGATGGCCCTTGTCCCAAGGGTTTACTATCTAAGACTGAGTTTCTCTAAATGTAACTGAGCAGTTCATTCATTGTCACCCACCAGACATCCTTCCTCCCCAAAGAGAGAAGCCCTGCTTTCTTCAGCGAACACGCACTGAACTGGGATGACTGACTCTTCTGAGTGGAGAAGACCCCACAAGTTCTAACTCTGGGGCCCCCTCTACACATTACATTTAAGGCAAGATTAACCAGGTAATCACATCTTAAGTTGTGGCACAGCTACATGTTCAACCAATTAATGGTGTAATAAAATAAGCTACAGTTATTCCACAAAAAATATGTAATAATTTTAAAGCTTGTTCTAATCATACCATTAATTGAATGTGTGGCCAGACCCTGTGGCTGGGAGCCCCATCAACTGAGAGGCTCCCAACCACAGGGGACCACCACCTGCTGCCAGCCCTGCAGCTGACAAAGGCTCACAGTGGTGGCAGTGCTGGCTGCGGGGCTTGCAGAGGGAAAAATGCTGCCTCCCCTGCATGAACGACTGGCGCCTTCTGAGACTGGGGGAGGGGGGGCACGATTTGTAGGCGGCAGTGTTGGCAGCGAGCAGGGACTGCCTGCAGACGCCGGTGGCAGTGTCGGCGGCGGCCAATCTCAAGGTGGGCATGTGCCCCCCCATGCCCTCCCTATGCGTTGCCTATGCTCCCCTGTGAGATGCCTTGGCTGTGGGACTCGCAGTGGGGCCAACGCAGGGGAATGCTGCTGCCACTGCCAGCCTCCTGTGCTGAGGGGCTCACAAGCTGTGGCAGCGTTCCCCCGTGCTGCTCTGTAGCTGACACTGCATTAGCTTGCAGCGGCAGCAGCAAAGACAACACTGGTGCTCCCGCAAGCCTCTGGAGGCATGGGGCTTGCAGTGGTAGCAGCATGCCCCTGTGCTGTGAGCCCTGCAGCCCACATCTGTCACAGGGCTCGCTAACTGTGGAGCTCACAGCTGCAGGAATTGGTGCAGGGGGAGCTTGGGATCACGATCCCAGGCTCCCCCTGCACCAGAGATAAGGCGCAATGGGATCTAAATGTGATCCCACAATTGCGCCTCCTGCCATGCATGTGTGGCATGGCACAAAGCACAATTGTGTGGACTGTGCAGTAGATACCACTGTGCCTTTACCTGCACGTGTAGAAGGGGCCTGAGAAGTCTAGAGTCACTGTCACAGCGGAATGATTATAGGTAAAATCATCTAACAGTTTCAATTCTAACCTCTATTTTCACTTAGTTTAAAACTGTCAACACTTGGGCTGAAATTTTCCAGGTTTGAAGCTGCCTTAAATTCATTTTTTTGCTTTTAAGTGTTGGATTTTTTTTCAGCCATTTTTGTTTAGGAGAAAGGGATAACCAGATAATCACAATGAACTGTTGCACCTTTTAATTTTTACATGCAAAAGACATAGGATCATAGATGGTGTTTGATTTGTGAGAAGTGGCATATTGATTTGTGTGACTTGATGGAAGGGAAAATGGGAAGCAGATAAGGTAACAAGGGGACAAAGAAGGAGGAAATGAGGCAATAGTGGGCTGAGGAACAGGGAGGCTGAGCAAGTTGCAACAGTCTCAACCTGAGATTTTTTTTCATGGGCACCTGATCCTATAGTTTTAAACATGGAGGTGAAGAATGGAGCCATTTCCCACTGTGCTTGGTTGCAATCCACACTATGCTAAAGATGTGGTGTGCACACACAAGCAAGCCAAAGCTTTGGGCAGCAATATTGGGAATATTGCTCAGATCCCATAAATCATTACTGTGCAAATTGGGTTCTGTGCCAAGACTTTTGGTTTCCAAGAGCCCTTGAGACAAACTTCCCCTAAGGAATGTGACCATTTGTAAGCTGGGAAAATGTCCTGAAAGAGAAAGGCGGGACGGTGACCAGGTCAACAAACCTTGAACGACTCCAAGAACACCAAACACTCCAACTCGCAGCTCTGTGTGCTTTTGCGTTCCATTGTTAACAGGGTCGTCTGCCCACTTGCTGAGCCAGTAACCGCGACAAAACGACGCAGTTTGCTGACATGTAAACAACAGGATGATGTACAAACAGATCGGGGAGCCCACTGCCCTCAGATAGTCCAAATAAATGGAAGTATTAACCTAGAGTGAAGCAATCAAGAGAGAAGGGGTGGGGGAAAGCAAGGGCCAGGCTTGTTAACCTGTTTGCTTTTAAGTGAGGCAGTGATGTATTATGGTGTACATGTTCTGTTATGCATCAGATGCCTTGGCAGCCCCAATGATACTCGCTTTTTACTGCAGGATGAATAAATTGCAGCACTGTTAAACCAATTCAGGGCATCCAGGCAACTTCCAAGTGCCTGCTGAGTCCAAATTGGCATCGTTTTCAGTAATGAATGTTACATCCCCTTTGAGCCATGTTTATTCTCACTGGTGATAACTTACAAGCATCCTATTAACTGCTCGCCAGTGGAAGTTAACCTGCCATAAGTAACAACTTTAGAGATATATCTCTTGGGCAAGAGGAGCCTTCTGAAATCCTTGTGTTTCCCTCTCTGTGACTCAGACTCCTATTTGCCTCTGTTCTCTGCTACTGGGTTTATAACATCACCCCTCACTCTTCCTTTCCTTCCCATGTCTCCACTGTCTGCCATTCTGCAATCATAGCTACTTCTATACAGTGTCTGGACTCCACTTGTGAAATCCTCCTTTTTTGCCTGGGTTAACAAATCCCTGACTTCCACAAGACCCGCTTCCCTAGACCAGCTCTTTTGAATGTGCTTCTCTTGAGCAAAATGAGAGGACGAATCCTACTCTTATTTTAAAGCTCATCTCCTATGCTCATTGTATGCATCATTACTCTTAAGAGGACATGCTGCAGTTACCCTGCCATGCTGAGTTTTCTCCCCTTCGATTAGTCTTCCCACATCTTTGGAAGCTGCAGTAGGTGCACGGTCTTGTCTTATGGCTCTGTAGTTGCTTCTCTCTGTAGAAGCCTTGAGTGACCCGTCACTGTATAGAAACACAACACCTGTAGCCAAGACTATAAGGTTTTTAGATCTGAGGTGTAGGTGTTAGGCTTTGGATGGGGGTGGTTAGCATTTGTTAGTATGCAGTCAGTGCATAAGTCCAGGAACCAAAATCTGTCCTCCCCAGATGAGGCTGGTACTGAATGCAAGTCCTGAGCATCCCATACCTGGCTAATATGAAAACAGTTTGGTCCCAGTCCATTTCCTAGGGTCAGGGTCCTCATATCACTCAGACTGGAAGTGGTCACAGAACAGCAGGGAGGCCAAGGAATAAATGGACCAGAGGCTAGAATCCTCTCTCACCCATGGAGGTGACACCTCTAGATACAATGTGGGGCACACTGCAGATGTAGAAGCTTTCACTGCTGCTGTGGGTGTTATAATTTCTCTAGGGCTAATCCAGAGGACTTCAGTCTCTAGTGATGTCAATCTCCCTTTCCACAAGCAATGTGGGGGGGTCTCTCTCAATCATGCCTTGTGCTACTTTGCTAAGGACTCATGACATTGATCAAACAGTTAAGCAGACAGGACTGGCAACGTCCTATGGGAGTATGACACTCTCCTGTTTGATCTGCCTGTCATTACTTTGATTGACAGTCTGTTACAGCTTCAGTCAAAAATACCAACTCTTCCTTTACCCTGCTGTCTGTCATCCTTTCCTCTCTGCCCTGCAGTGACTGCTTGCCTCTCTGTAACAGCTATTGAATGAATGGTGATTTAAATGCAAAAAAGGAGGGGTCTTTTAAAACATTTGTATCATAGATTGATAGATTGTTAGGGGCTGGAAGGGATCTTGTAGATCATCGGGTACAGTCCCCCTGCACTAGGCAGGAAAAAGTAACTGGGGTCAAGTGACACCACTGAGGTGACTGTCCAGTTTCCTTTTGAAGATTTCCAGGGTAGATGACTGCACCACCACTGGAGGGAGCTTATTCCATAGTCTGGACACCCTGACTGTGAAGGAGTTTTTCCTGGAATTGAGTCTGAAGCGGCCTTCCAGGAGTTTGTACCCATTGGTCCTGGTCTGCCCCAGGGGTGCCCTGGTGAACAGCTGGTCACCAAGTTGTTGATGTACTCCCCTGATGTAGCAGTAAGCCGCTACCAAGTCCCCTCTCAGCCTTCTCTTCTGTAGGCTGAAGAGGCCCAAGTCCCTCAGCCTCTGCTCGTATGACTTGTCTTGCAAGTCCCTGATCATACGGGTGGCTCTTCTCTGGACCCCCTCCAGTTTTCCCACATCCTTGTTGAAGTGCGGTGCCCAGAACTGGATGCAGTACTCCAAGTATCAAAGTACTTTGTATCTGATCAAGGAAGCTGCTGCTCACAAAAGCTTATGCATCTCTGATTTAGTTAGTCTGTAAGGTTTCTATCTGAAGTCTAGGAAAGAAAACAATGGCTTCTCATGATGTATGGTGCAAACACCAGCACATGTTCACAGACAAGGAGAGCCCTGCATATGTTCTGTCCCTGCCCTTGCCCTATTTGCATCCAGCCTGATTGCAAACCTACTGGACTCAATGGCTTGCCTAGGCTTTGGAGCAGACCCATGCTTCGGTGTTGGAGACGAGCTTAGTTTTACCTGAAGGGTTCTTCTGGGTGTGTAGCATTTCTGGGAACGACGGCATTGTCAGCATTTCCTGCAGCTGTGGGACAAATGTATTTTAATAACTCGCATTCTCCTTTTGTCCTGTTTTAGCCTCTTGAGAGTTCAGCAGCACAACGAAGATTCACTTCAAGGAACTTTTTATAAAGAGAAGTGTATATTTGTCTGACTTTCTCCACGGAGCTGCAGCAATGGCACATGTGGGGGGTAAGGTATATTAATAGGTAGCAATTCCAATATGAAGGTATTATTCACATAACTTGTATAACTGACCCTACCTTATTGCGTGATGAGTAGGTTAATTTGCTGGCAGCATATTATTTTTTCCTTACTAAACAGTGCTGTATCACAATGCAGCTCAGTATTAGATCACATGGGGAAAATGCTTCATATTTCAGTAATGGAACAAAGCTAATGCTTGTTCAAAGGGCACCTATACATGTGCTCTGGGATGTGGGGAGTGTTTTCATTACAGCAGCTCTTGGGAACTGCAAAAATGCCCATAGTGTTTTGTGTATTCAGTGTCCCACATTTCAAAATAACGGAGGGGGTGCTTTAACTAAAGTTTGTTCGACGAGCTTTAATTAAAGTGCCCCTGCTGCCATTTTGAAATGCGGTAACAATAAATATATGAGAGACTGCAGCACGCTGGAGCGTTCTGATTAGACTGCTCCAGCAGACTCCGACGCGCTCTAATCAACGTGTTTGAGAACATGTAGAAGTGCCCAAATGTTCTGTTCCATTTCACTCGTCCCCAATGTGAACAGTAGTGGAGCTCCACTGAGGCAATAATACGCTAAACATAAAAGCAGTGTACTATAAGGAGCAAATGATTCAGTAAGGTGTGAATTATTCGCATACGTGTGGATTACCTGGTAAATCATAGCCCTCTTCCTCTTCTGCGCTGCTGTATGAATAAAGGAAGTTGGCAAAAGCCCCATTTTTCTGTAACAGTTCTTGGTAGCAACCCATTTCTGAGATCTCGCCATCCACCAGCACAACAATATTGTCAACATGGGGCAAGATGCTGATTGTGTGAGTCACCAGAATTCGAGTCTGTTTAAAGAGAGTTCAGTTAAATAACCAGTCTTTGGTGCAGCTACTTCTCTTAACCTTCTGCTCTCGCTGAAAGGACTGCACAAGTGAATGCATGTGGCCAGTTCAGGGCTGGCAGTGTTATTAACCTAGGTACTTCTGTGATGTTTATTACTGTGGGATCTGAGAGACCAATGGCACTCCTATGAAGTAAAGTATTGTTTGTCAACATTTTATAGGTGGAAAAATGGATGTCAGAGAGGCTAAATGACTTGTGTATGATCTTGTGAGTTGTAGGTCACTTGAGAAAAGGCTGGAAGAGCTTGGCTTGCCCAACCTAGCAAAGCAAGGACAAGAGGGGATGTCAGGTGGAAACACCAGGGAGGGAGGAGAGCCCTTAAGTTAAAGTAAGGGTGTCAAACTCACTCTGGGTCCGAGGCTGGATCTAGACTGATAGGCTTTTCCTGGGCCAGCTCCATGGAGCCAGCAGCAACTGTGGTGAGTCTGGGTCCAGGGCCAGGAGTGCAGGTCCAGAGGTATGTGACAGTGCAGGTGAGGGAGTGGGCAGCAGTGTGGGTCTGGGAGCAGGCAGCGGTGTGGGTGGGGGTGAATGGGCAGCAGGGTGGGTCCAGGAGTGGGTAGTGGCACAGATTTGGGTGTGGGTGGTAATGTGGGTGGGGGATTGGGAAGCAGCACCGATCCAGGGGCAGGCATTGCAGGTAGAGGTATGTGGCACAGCGAGCAAGGGTGCATGGATCCAGGGGCAAGTGGTAGTGCAAGTAGGGGAATGAGCAGAGCACTGATCCAGGGGTGGGTAGCAGCAATGAAAGGAAGGAAGGCCTGTATCTGCACAGACCTTGCTCACTCCTCTGCCACCATTGGCAATGTTTATCGGGGTAAAAAGACCCTGAATTCTGCAGCAGACCATGGTCCAGTGGCCTGCCAGACTATGGACAGTCCAGATGGAATAGATCTGCAGGCCAGATCCAGCCAGTAGGCTGTATGTTTGACAACCCTGAGCTAAGAGACAGTGTTGGTCAAAAGCAAATAGGCTGAAAATTAAAAGGAAGAGTAAGGTCCTAGAACAGCTACCCAGTAGGAGTGTGTGTGTTGGGGGAATAAACCTAGCTTGTTTGAAGATACAGCTTAATCAGTTTATGAAAGAAATTATAATCCGTGGGCCCCTGTGAGGATTCCTACCCCATGCAGGCACTGAAGGAGTCTGGATGGCTCAAACCAATTTTTGCATCCTCTGATTATCAGTTTTTCAGACAGGCTGCCACTCCACAGACAGCAACTTATCTACGTACCTTCTCCTTCAGTAAGCCATTAGGTCCAATGACCTGCTCAAAAATATGCTGTCCAACCTGGGCATCCACAGCTGAAAGAGGGTCATCCAGTAGGTAAAGAGCTGCCTTCTGGTACACTGCTCGAGCGAGCCCCATCCTCTGTTTCTGCCCTCCAGATATATTTATCCCCTGTTGAGATACAAAAACGCTTACTCAGATGCTCCTGTACATTTGCTACCCGCTTTCACTGCCTTAAGCTGAGGTTTAGTGACACATTTGGTTCCTAAAATTTCCCACAGTGCCGTTTTCTTTCAGACCCCTTGAATAGCTCTCTGAAGGCAGAGTCTGAACCCCCCTTGTTCAGTCCCTACCCTGCTGCTGTGCAGAGGCTTTAAAAGTAGGGATGTAAATATTGTTTAGTTATATGGGCTAAACAATTAAGCTCATAACACAGCAGCTGCTGGGGGGAAGGGGACGAGGCAACCTCAGCCAGACAACACAGCCCAATGAAGCCCTACTCTGGGAAGGAGAAAGGGATCTGTGAAGGAGCAGCTAATTGCTTAATTGATAAGTCATTAGGCTGCTCACAGTTTTCCTCTTAGGCTATGGGTACCTTGGCCCTTCTGCCCTCCCCCTTGTCCCTCCCTCCTTCCTGCCACCTTCTGATTCCTGCTTCGGGTGCCTTCCCTGCCTCCCCTTCCCTGCCAGACCGCGACTGCCCCGAATTAAAAGATAACCAGTAAGCTAACCACTTATCACTGCACTTATCAGTTAAATGATAAGTTTAGGTTGCCTCCACTTTCACGTGCCCAACCAGGGACCCCCTTTTAATTAGGGCCTGATGTTCAGAAAGTCCTGAGCAATCTGCCCACAGCAAAACAGGTCCCCTTAAGTGCCTCAGTCTAGGGAGCAAAAACTACCAGCCATGCATGGAAATCTTCTAGGGCACATAATGCTGAGAAACCTTTTCTCCTATTTCACTTTTGCTTCCTGCAGGGAAGGTTTCCAGGTCTGGGTGCAGCGCACAAGCACGTATCACTCGGTTATACCAACTGTCGTCCATCTCTTTTCCAAACAGGATATTGTCTTCCACTGAAGCATTCTGTATCCAAGCTTGCTGGGGGACATAGGCCACTGTTCCCTGGGATATGGCAATGGGAGAGTCTCACTAATGAGCTTTATCTTTTTCATAAACTTTTCTCAAAGGAAGGAAGAATATTCTAGATGGTAGAAATCTTGTTTTTTAAGCCCCCCTCCCTCCGCTGCCTTGCTGCAGTTTGGTGTAAAAAAACCCTAAAATGAGGCCCCAAAGGATAAGCCGAGCAAGTAACTCCTATAGTCAAACCACAATGCACTAGGATGAAGAGAGCACTAAGCTAGCATGGGTACCAGAAGCAATTAGTTGGTGCAGCACAAAGCTCAGCATGGGACCCAAACCACTGAAGGCACCCAAACCACTGAAGGCACTTCTCCTGCATGACAGTCTGTAGTGTATCCTCTGAGAGGGCTTTCACCTACTCAGCACTTTCCAAGGTAAAAGAAGTGTCATCATGCTTATTTTGAAGATGAGGAAATTGAGGCATAGGAGTGTGTGAAGTGATCTGCCCAATGTGTTTCAGCAGAGTAATAGCTGATTTAGGAGCCCAGTTATAGTCCTCACACACCCCATGTAATGACACAGGATGCCCCTGTGAGATCGATGCAGCCAAGTCACCAAAGTGTGGTATTTGGTGGGTTTTTATCAAAAGGCAGTGATTACATATGAAACTTGGTCAACACAGCACCTTTCCTTATGTCCTGATCAAGAGCAAACACTCAGAGAAAGCTCTACCTTCACAGATACGTGGCCTTCCAACTTCTGCAGCTCCCCAAGTAATGCTGACAGCAGAGAAGACTTTCCAGCTCCCACCTGGCCCACCACAGCAAGCAGGCTGCCTTCCAGCACAGATAAATTTATCCTGCCAAAACACAGCACCGTAGCTCCCGAGGTCACTGACACCAGAGCTGTGGAGACGGAATGGTTGCAGAGGAAACTAACACTATCTTGGCTCATGTCCCTTCTGGAGAAAGAAAATGTTTGCCTCCCCTTGTCTCATAAAACTTCAGCTACGCAGGACAGTCAAACCACCTCTGTTTGTGCTGCTGACTTTCCAGCAGCTCAAAACCTATCCCGTCAAAGTTGTCCCCAACCAGGAATCTGTCAGGCATCACTCTGCCCTTTTGCTTATTATTGTAGAGATGGGGCACTGATATACATGCTCTGGGGTGGGGGTGTTTTAATGAGAGAGGCTCTGGGGAGCTGCTCTAATTAAAACGCCCACAGCATCTCGTGTATTCAGCGTCCTGTGTCCCAAAATGGCAGAGGAGGTGCTTTAACTAAAGTTGATTTGAGCTTTAGTTAAAGTGCTCCTGCCACCATTTTGAAACGTGGGGATGCTGACGACATAAGACACTGTAGCATGCTTGATTAATCAAGTATGCTCTCACGCGTTCTAACTAGGATGTGTCAAAGCCCGTGTAAAAGTGCCCGGGGATTCTAGCCAGATCCAGACCCCATTTAAAGGTTCTTTGAAACTCAATTTCTGTAAAATATGTTAAACCAAAGTGCTGGATATGAACACCCCTGATCTTGAGCACAATCAGTATCAGGTTCAGATTTGTGACAAAAACCCTATCAGTTTATGCCTTTCTTTTGCTGCTTTAAGCAAAGTTCTTGTTGCATTTGTAATACTCTCCACTTCTGGAACTGGCAGACCTTGTGAGGCAAGTGTTACAGAATACAGTGGGCTGCACTGTAAAGTCAAATGCATATCACAGTTCCAATATTTAAGTGTAGCTGCCTTAAGTTACCCAAGGTCCATATCTGGACAAGTAAATACCAGCTTGATGTACCTCAGTGCCCACCCAATACCCAAATATAGAAGTGGGCATCCTAGTAGTATTGTACCCACATTCAGACACAGCACGTGCATGCTATACGTCCTGCTTTCTGCCTCAGTTTGTAAATCGTTCAGAACAATTTGAGATAGCAAACTCCTCCAGACTATTTTGTACCGGGTTCACTGGCCAGACCTGTCCGTCAGCCCTTCTCGCAACCTATGGAAAGAAGTATTGGAAAAAACTTATACCTTTTCAGGCAAGGAAAATATTCTTTGCTCCAGTGGAAAGTTCCATTCCTTATGATGATACATTTCTTGACTAAAATAGAGAAACACAAAAGGCATACATGCTTTTAGCAAGAGCTATGTTCATGCACCTGATTATAGACCTGGTGCATTGACTGATTGCAGTAAATCACAGATGTTCTCCATGTCTTAATAAAAGGGGAATAAATGCCATTTTAATACAGTCTTTCCAGTGTGTGCCCACATTCAAATGCTGATACACTAACAACCAGATTGGAATCACCTAGCCATCAGATAGAGTAATTTTTGGCAACACCTAGATCTGACCCAATATCTTTAAGAGGAGCTTTTGTGGGTTATGTTCTCAGCTTGTTCATGGTGCTACTTTTACTTGCTGAGGATATGACCTTTTGATTCCTTTGCCCATACTTGAGTTATTCAGAAATCCTTAGAAGCTGCATTAGCATCTTTAAAGACACTTTTAATGTTACAGTCACTGAATCTTCTCCACCCTCTTCTTAAAGCCCCTCCCACCAGTTAAGATTTTCTTTGTGTATCTTGACATTTGCTGTCAAATTACAGCAACTGATTATAGCTGCGACAAAAAACTGATAAAACTACTGACCATAATGGGAATCCAAATTCCACATGGTCTGTTCTCCCCCTGCTATGTGCCCATTCACAATAATGGAAACTTACAGCTATCCAACAGATCTGTGTTCATGTTGTCTGAATCCAGCTCTTCCAAGCTAAGAAATGCAGCTAAACGGTTTAAGGAAACCTTGGCCTGAAACAAACAGATGCTAAATTGTAAAGGAAGGTAAAGTGAATACTGAGCTCGGATTGTTTGTTTCTATGATTGGGCTTTTGCCATTTATATGGAAAATTAATTTTATGAAAGGGGAAGAATAGAGCAGTGTTGGTTTCCCTCCAACTCAGCAGCCCAACCCAGCTTTCCCTGTCTCTTCTTTCTCCAAAAGAGTGCCTGTTCTGGCCAGACATTTGAATGTGACATGTTTCCAGAATCTTTTTTACTAATGGTGCCTGCTTCATTGGACTATTCAGAAACAAAGGAACCAAGGGCAGATGCTTCCCAGCTGAAGAACGGTGGGGATTTGAGCTTGACCCATTGGCTGTCTAGTTCTAGTGCCATTTTATTAGCTGTGACATCCTATTTATCTAGCTAGGATAGGAAGCCCTATAGCTATCTCTGATCTTCTATGTTTGTGGTGTTTTAGGGGAGTAAATACCATATTTACTTGATTCTAAGACAAGGGTTTTCCCCCCAGGCAGCATGGGGAAAAAGGCCCCTCATCTTAGATTTCCATGCAAAGTAGAAGCAGGAGGTGGGGAGGGAGGTAGTTATAGCTCTGCCTGGACCTAAGCCTGGGTCGGGACCAGAGTCAGACCCACAACCGCCTCCTGCCCTCCACCTTGCTTGCCTTCTGCAACTTCTACGCTGCCTTCCCCCTCTCCCTTCCTCCCTTTTACTGTCAGGCACAGCTGGGCTTGGGCTTGGGCAGGATTCCCTGCACAGAGTACAGGAAAACTCTGTCTGCTGCCCAGTCAAGCAGCAGTGCTGCTGCTGCTGCATGGCCCAGCAAGGCCTGAGCTTCCATGCGCTCCATGATTTTGGGAGGAATTAAAGCCCAAGCAATGTCTGACAGTAAGAGGAAGGGGACGAGACAGAGACTGTGGGGAGTGGGGAAGAGGGGCAGCAATTGTGGGGAGTTGGGGGGGGGCAAGGGGCAGAGGCTGGGAAACTGGGGAGAGAAAAGGCAGAGACTGGGGAGCTGAGGGGGGGGGGTTCAGGTAGCAGGGAAGAGCAGGAAGGCTGCAGGAAGAAGCGGAGGCAGACGGCAAGGGGGTTCCTGATTGGCCCCCAGTCACGTGACGCCCCCCAGTACTGCTTTCCCTGCTGTAGTGGGGGGGGGGGGGGGTGCTGTTTCCCCGGTTGTGGGGGGGGGGGGGGTGGTAAGACAACCCTCCAATAATTAGAACCTATCCCTGGAAAAGTATAACAAATTTATAAATATTCCATATATAATTATTGGGGGGTCATCTTAAATTTAGGGTTGCCTTACATTCAAATAAATATGGTATCAGAAATATTACTTTACACTGAATAGTGACATCCCAAACTTATTGCAAAGCTGCTTTGGAAAACCGCTTCATTACTCTAAGGAGTACTGATGGTATAAGGCTTCATGTATCTGAGTGACTGTAAGACATCCGTGCTCCATTCTGTTGCGCAATGACATTTAACTACCTGATCCAATTGTATGAAGCGCCATAAAAAAATCCCCATTTTTACCATATAGTGATGACATTCACAGAACCAACATGGCCAAGCTAATGAGAATGTGCCAATGAGCACATGGTCTGAAACTAACCTGCACAAGAGCATTGATGGAAAATGGCAGGAAGGAGTGGGCAGTGTTGAGAATGTTGATCAGCGTCAAGGACACAAAAGCTTTCTGGGCATCAAGGACATGGGTCTCATCCACCAAGGTGTAGACTGCAAACATGACCAGTGCAATCTGAAATGGAGCAAAGGGAAAGCACACCGCTGACTCCAGCAGGCACAGGGGAGGGGGTTCAAATAATGTCTCTTTCTCCCAGGGCTCTGAAGTCTGCATTATAGAACCCAGGAGAAGAAGCCACAACCACTTCTATGTTGTCCTGTGAGTTTTATTGGCAAAGGTCTCAGAAACTGTTGGTGGCACAGAGAGTTTGATGATGTGCCACTTATAAGGATTGTTCCAGCACTGCCACCATGGTGAGGTGATAGAAATGTGCAAGTCTGGGCAGTGAGACTGACAAATGTCATTTATTTAAATCTTGATTCTGCAGGGAACTCCTTGGGGGTGCAGAGTTCACTGCAGTCTCTGTGGAAATAACAGTGAATGCTTATGAAAGAGGCCTAACTGCTCACCAGGAAAGTAGATGAGTAGAAGGAAGACAGAGACACCGCAAACAGAAGCTGAGACCTTTTTAAGGCTTGTAGTTCTTGCTTCCGGATACCAAGCACTTTCTCCATAAAGGCTTTCTCCCAGGCATACAGTTTGATGACTTTCATGTCGCTGAGAATAGCATTGGTGAGTTTTGCTCTGTCATCCTTATGCTGCATCTGCTCCTCCTGAAATGGACCACGTGAATGTACTATGAATGAGTTTATCAGCACCATTTTGATCCTGCCTGTGATTATGAAGGATCCCCTGGCAGTTCAACTCAACTCCCTTTACTAGTAGGTCTGCCAGGCTGATATTTGCTTTTCCATCTTTAAATAGTTTAATTTTTAATAGAAGTAGAGAATATTAGCATTTGGTTCTCAGTACCTGGAAAAAACAATCATATTGGAGAGTGCTTGTCTGAAATCTGAAACTATGGTAATTTCATAGGCTTTGGATCCAGGACCCTAACAGTAATGACCAGTATATATAACTAACATTGAGCCATCATGTGAAGTCCTGTATCAGAAGTAAAATATAATACATATCCTTTGCACAATATACCTATTTGTAATTGCTTGCCTTTGTTTCATTGAGTATCCTTGGGCTCTGTGGGATCCTTTGGTGAATGAGGAGGGCAGAATTTAACCTACAAAGCTACACAGTGATAGAATTTTGTATTTTTGGAAGCAAAAGATACCTGAAACTGGCTCCTTTTCTTGGTAATCGCAAAATTCAGAGGCAAAAGAAGAAAAAATACAGCAACTGCAGTCAAGGCAGATGGTCCCAGGAGCTGTCAGGAGAGAAGAGGTAAGATTTCCATCATCACATAAGAAGTATTTTTAGAGGTTATGCTTTTCCAGGCTACTCTGTTAACTGCCTGTCTTCTCGCTTGAGACTTGGGTCCAAAACAGTGATGCTTAATAAGGGTACTGGTCCACTATAGGGTGCTGCCAGGTGTGTGGAGATAAGTAGATAAGTGCAGGCTTAGCTTGTCCCTCCTGGCCATTACACAGGTCCTCTGCCTGGCCTCTCAACAAGGAGGTAAGCACTAATAAATAAGTTCCTTTTTGAATTGGGGTGCTGTTCAAGTCACAAGTTATGGAGGGGTGCCTTGAGTCTAATGAGGGGTCCCCTTAGTCTAAAAATGTTGAAAACCAAGGGCCTAAAACCCTAAACCTCTCCTCCAATTTCACCTTTGACCATTTGATTGAAAAACAGCCCATTTCTCCTTCAGCCCTCTGTGAGAGTTGTGGATTGATCACAAACCATACCCTACTGTGTTGGTGTGCTGCGAAGTGCCTAGGAACTCATTTTGTAAAAGCAGATCCTCCTCTCAAGTGCACTGGTGCCAGCCCTTGAAACTAATGAGTTAGCAAGAGGTGATTTTGATTTTCATAGATTGTCTCATACCTCTGAATGTTTGTTTCCCTTTTAGGAGCAGTCATGTCTGTGAGAGATCCCAGGACATGTCTGAGATCCCACCAGTCCTCTTTGTTGCTAAGTATTTCCTCTCAACAGTTTTTTAATTTATTGAATGGGGCCATCTCATGGCTGGCTTTGGCAAGACACACGAGTCAATGTTAAATAAGACCCTGCATAAATAACTAGGCCTGACTGAATTTAAATCAGCTACTGATTTGGAACAGTCATATTTTAATACAGTAGTTGTGGTGTTTCTGGGAATCTGGGTCCATATTGTCTTAACTGCCAACTTCAATGAGCTTCGTTCTCAGCTAGTTTGCAGTGGCTGTTTCATTTTGCTAGAGAGGCCAGTACTTAAATAATCACTGCAGAGCAGAGCTGAGCAGGGATATGTTGGCAGAGTTGATCCAATGTGTAACCACATCATAGATTTCATAGACATTAGGTCATGCTTGGCTCTAGCTGATTATACCTAGTCTCTTATCTCAAGTCAGCCTACCAGTTACTCTGAGTAACCACCACAGACCTGCAGGACTCTTAACAGATACCTTCAACTGCTCTTGGCAACAGCACCTCTGGCATGATGATGATGCTCATCATAATAGATGCTGGTTGTTAATTTAATTTCTAGTACAGTAGTTTTCTTTCCTCCTGGGGCAACTGAGATAGCAGATAGGGGTACAGCAAAGCCCAGTTTGTAAAGCTACCTGGGTTCTTACAAACATGATTGACCCATTCTACAAGGCAGATTACTTCATCTAGCATGCAGCCAAATGGGCTGAAACACTGGGGCTTTATCCTGCCAATATAAAGTACAAGCCTCATTGAATTAGGACCAGAAATTACCTTCTTAGGTTTTCTAACTCATCTCCTTCGTGCACTAATTTGGGATCATTCCTATCCAATCCTTGACACCTATCCCATTGATTTTTTCCAGTAAGATCCTTTTGAGCACCTTTTCTAACAGTAACTCAAAAACCTGTCTCCTCTTTCACCAAACTTGTTCCCAGGCTCCCTGATTTCAGTGTAATCTACCTGTAGGATGAAATGTAGGAAAGGTCCTATATCAGGCAGTTACTCCTTGTTATGTGTTAAGACTGTACAAAGTAACTTCCGGTAAGTACCAGAATCCTGAGAATCAGAGCTGCAAATGTTTTTGGTACTGACTTCAAAGGGGGAGCTATTTTACTTTAGAAGGGAACAACTACAGAAAGACAGCTTTACCGGCAAACTAGAATGGACATAGTTTACTGTCTTCAGTTGGAAGAACACACTGAACAGTGGAGTCAACACATTTAGCCAAGGCAAGTGCAATATTTTGGGTATGGAAGGATGAAGTCAAGCAAAACATCCAAGTAAGGACAAAGTACAACAACCAAAAAAATCCCTGTGTGGAGAAGCACTTATTTTTCTTATAATAAAAGCATGTGCGTCCTTTCTATCACAGTGCTAAGAGACGGAAGGGAACTTCAGGTACTTCTGGCCTATGAGGACCCCAGACTGACTCCTGATCACTTTTCCTTGCCCATGATACCATGAACAGAAGTGGATAGGTTTTACCTGCCACAGGAAGACAAAGCAGATGATAATCCGAATGGGAGCAAGCCAGATCCCATTAAAATAGATGATGAGATCCATTAACTTTTGGACATCGACAGACACCAGATTGACAATTTCTCCTACTGTTGTTGCTTTCCTTGCTGCATTTGACATGACTAAGATCTATTGGGGGAAAAGAGAGAGGCCAAATGGAACTTTTGTTTGAAAAATAAAATGACTGAGTTCCAGGTCAGCTTTAAAGGAAAGAAGGGTCAGGCTCATAGTGACTAGGATTTGACATCATTGTAGTAACGTGTGAATGAACAGAGATCTATTTGAACGTCATTCTTGCAATGTAAGCAGACACAGCAAACTAAGTATAGCTCTTTAATATCAACAGACTAATGGTTACTAATAATGAATACAATCAACATGAACATCACTAGTGGGTGGTCACAAGAAAACCAAAAGGAAAGTGGCTGGACTTACCTTTCTGTACACCAGGCCTGTAACTGCAGTCTTCAGCCTTACTCCTATTACAAGACATGTATACATGTACCGTTGTTCAAACAGAGTCTGGAGGCAAGCTAAGAAGAACATTAATCCTGCATAGAAATAACCCTTCCAGCTAGGGGATTCTTGGTCTTTCATGAACTCCAGAAAAAGGCTGCAAGAGAACAATAAGTTGGCTGAAAACTTGACTCCCTCTACCAGTTCTTGCCTGAAGTTATTTGCCAGATTTAATTAAAATTCAGAGTTTTGGTATTCCAAAATGGCATTTTTCAGCAAAGCTATTACTTGCATAAAAATATTAACTGAACTGTAGTCTATCGTTTGCATGCAGTACTGCAAACTCTTGCTATTTTATCCCAAGGGTTATATTTAGTGTTTCCTAAAGCTCTTTGCTCATGGAATCATGCAACTAATTAAGAACCTTAGCTCTGCTTTAAAGAACATAAAATAAATTTATAGGGGAAAAAACATGATCTACGTGAACCCTGAAGGGCAAGTTCCAGAAATGGCACCTCCCTATTAAAAAATACTCTCATGATTTTTAAGTCAGTTTTCTAAATTCTAGGTCTCTGAATAATGATTTGTCAAGGCTTATATCCTCCAATACTGCAACACATTGGGTCTTGCCCACATTAGTACTGACAAGAAGTCACTGCCATCCAATTGATGTTTAGCAGCCTGTGAAATGCTATGACATTTTGTGATATGTCAGCAACCGCTATCCAGATTCTAACAATTTTCAGAAGTTGGTGATGGAGTGTGAAATATCCCCACAAGGAATGAATGGTAAAGCTGGCATTGCTTTAACCAGGACCACATCTTGCTCGATCAAGCAAGTAAAGATTTAGCAATCCAAAGAGATTTCAACCTAGGTCCTTTCTTCAGCTCGAAAAAATCATTAGTGTTTGTGTGTGCTCTTCTGGAAGATCATTGCGAAATGTTCACATACCTGAATATCTTTGGGACTGAGAACAAGAAGACATCACAAATGACCAAGCTGAGGGTACCAAAAAGGAAATAGGTTCTGAACATGCTCCATAATGCTTTCAGCAAGGACTTGCTCTGACAGTCTTCTGGCTGTAACAGAACCTGCTTCTCTCCGGCTTCTGTCGAATCAGCCTCCCTTTGCTGATCCTTTTCAAATTTAACTGACCCTGCTTTTCTAAAGAAACATAAGGAGAATGGTTGCAATCTGGAGAGGTGCTGACATGTTGATTTTAAGTGTTCAACAACATTATAAATATCCCACATTGGAAATGGGACCGCTCCAAGGGACCTGAATAAGAGACAACTCATTCTTTTGATTTTGTAGTAGTCCTGAACAGCCTTAGTTGTGGTTCAGGAGACACTTCTAGAAGTTATTGTACAAACACCCAGCAAAAAGATGATGCCTTCTCTAAAGAGCTTCAGTTTTGTATACCTTGTCATTAAAGGATATTCCCCAGAAGATTTCAATGCATATAAGGTCAAATGTTGAGCCTAAATGGCAAAGGGCCTGATTGTTCTGCAACAGGAAAAGCTCCAGGGAAGGGAAGTTCTCCAGAATATTCACTGCACTGTCCAGCCCCTCCCCACAGCTGAATGACAAAAGGACTCCATAGGACTGAATCCTTTGGCCATTCTCTTCTGCAGATAGTAGCCCTGCCAGCGTGTTCCCAAGCTCTCTGCAGCCAG